AATTAGGAAATGCCTGGATTAAGGATGCCCCTGCAACCTTAGTTTGGCCTCCTTGTGCATACATGTTATCAAAGTCTTTAATTACATGATCACATGCTATTTTTTCGACAGGACTCCTGCTTCATTCCGTGCACAGGATGGACAGTGCTCGCTGAATAGGTAGCTCTTAGGGCTGTCAAGAGATTAAAAATATTAATCGTGATTAATCACGCAATTTAAAAAACTAATCGCGATTAAGCACACTGTTAAAAATAATAGAATACCATTTATTTAAATATTTTTGGATGTTTTCTACATTTTCAAATATATTGATTTCAATTGCAACACAGAATACAAAATGTACAGTGCTGACTTTATATTTATTTTTGATACATATATTTGCACTGTAAAAAAAAGAAATAGTATATTTCAATTCACCTAATACAAGTACTGTAGTACAATCTCTTTATGACAGTTGAACTTACAAATGTAGAATTATGAACAAAAAATAACTGCACTCAAAAATAAAACAATATAAAACTTTAGAGCCTACAAGTCCATTCAGTCCTACTTCAGCCAATCGCTCAGACAAACAAGTTTGGTTACAATTGGCAAGAGATAACGCTGCCCACTTCTTATTTACGTCACCTGAAAGTGAGAACAGCCGTTCGCATGACACTGTTGTAGCCAGCGTGGGAAGATAGTTACATGCCAGATGCAGTAAAGATTCAGATGTCTCTTCATGCTTCAACCACCATTCCAGAGGACATGCGTCCATGCTGACAACGGGTTCTGCTCGATAACGATCCAAAGCACTGTGGACGGACACATGTTCATTTTCATCATCTGAGTCAGATGCCACCAACAGAAGGTTGATTTTCTTTTTTGGTGGTTCAGGTTCTATGTTTCTGCATCTGAGTGTTGCTCTTTTAAGACTTCTGAAAGCGTGCTCCATACATCGTCCCTCTCAGATTTTGGATGGCACTTCAAATTTTTAAACCTTGGGTCGAGTGCTGTAGCTATGTTTAGAAATCTCACATTGGTACCTTCTTTGTGTTTTGTCAAATCTGCAGTGAAAGTGTTCTTAAAATGAACAACATGTGCTGGGTCATCATCCAAGACTGCTATAACATGAAATATATGGCAGAATGTGGGTGACACAGAGCAGGAGATATACAATTCTCCCGCAAGGAGTTCAGTCACAAATTTAATTAACGCATTGTTTTTTTAATGAGTATCATCAGCACGGAAGCATGTCTTCTGGAATGCTGGCCGAAGCATGAAGGGACATACGAATGTTTAGCATATCTGGCACGTAAATACCTTGCAATGCTGGCTACAAAAGTGCCATGCGAACACCTGTTCTCTCTTTAGGTGATATTGTACTTAAGAAGCAAGCAGCATTATGTCCCGTAAATGTAAACAAACTTGTTTGTCTTAGTGGTTGGCTGAACAAGAAGTAGGTCTGAGTGGACTTATAGGCTCTAAAGTTGTACATTGTTTTGTTTTTGAGTGCAGTTATGTAACAAAAAAAATCTACATTGGTAAATTACACTTTCACAGTAAAGAGAATGCACTACTGTACTTGTATGAGATTAATTGAAAAATACTATTTCTTTTATCATTTTTACAGTGCAAATATTTGTAATAAAAATAATATAAAGTGAGCACTGTACACTTCATATTCAGTCTTTTAATTGAAATCAATATATTTGAAAATGTAGAAAAACATCCACAAATATTTAATAAATTTCAACTCGTACTCTATTGTTTAACAGTGCGATTAATCACGATTTTTTTCAGTTAATTGAGTGAGTTAACTGCGATTAATCGACAGCCCTAGTAGCTATTCAATATTTTGCTTTATCCTCATCATTCAATGTGTGGTCCCATGTCTTAATTGCTGCACACTATTCAAACCCTACACCGAGTACAGAATTATTCCCTCAGAGGCTTTTTTGTAGCTCTCCACAAACACTAATGAATTTAATTTCCCAACATCCCTGTGAGGTACAGTTTATGTCAGTATCCCCATGTTACAGACAGGAGCCTGAAGCACAAGAGATTAAGGTCAGAAGAGTCCACTAATTTCAGGTGGACCAACTGGAGAGACCTGAGACCTGATTTTCTTGGCATTAAATAGCAGTCTATGTACAAAGCACAGCTCCCACTGACCAGCTGCAATAGTGAGTGCTCTGCACGGGTGCAAATCAGACCCCAGGGGTCTCAAGTTTGGCGTACAAAAAAGGAAGAACACCTGTGAAAATGTGCATGTAAGTGACTTGCCCAGCATCACATAGAAACCCTGTGGCAGAGGCAGGGATAGAATCCAGTTCTCCAAGGCAGCATTCAAGAGCAATGGGACCGTCCTTTCTCCTGAAATCCCATACTTCATTCCCTACACACCTTCCAATTTCTTCAATAAAGGAGGCAGAGAGCCAGCAGGTCTCCTTCACTACACAACCATGATGCGGCCACCCAATGGAGCTGTCCACCCCATGCGACCTGTCATGTGCTCCAAGTGGTAAGGGCAGCCTTGCCTCCTGCTTCTCTTGCTTTCCCTTAAGCAAGCCTTGAAGGAGTGTGCTCCCTCCCCGCCTCTCACCCCTGGCCCCCCAAAGCATGCCATCGAGGCCATCCCGCAAGCCTCACCAGTTGCTTCCAACATGCACAATATCCAGCCAGTCCACCTCCGAACTGTGCCCAGGAAACATCTGTACACACCTCTCCTCCATCCTATTTACTTCCTCACCCTCGTGTCCCCCCTCCCCAACTCCGAGCAATGGGGCCTGCTACCACCAGCGGAGGGCAAGGAACCCAGTGGGCCAGCCTGTACTCCACTCTGATCCCACAGCCCACTGCGGATATCAGCTGGCGTCTTCCTCACGGAGCTGTGAGTGCAGGCATGTACCTGGTGTGGTTCACAAACTCCCCTGCCTCTTTTGTGCGTCTTTTGTGCTGCATCTACATAGGGTGGACCAAGCTGCAGCCCCTCTTCCGGCTCCTCCAGAACCTCCTACTGAGGTCCTGGCTGCACTGTCCCCTGCACCTCCCAATTCATACACACCCTATCTGTGGCCCCACAATTTGCAAAACCTCCTCATCAACCTACCTCTGGTGCTGGCCAAGACGGCCATCCACCACTCTAGGTCGAGAAAGCTGGATTGGGGTGTGGGGGGGGAGCCTATTTCCTTTCTCTGGTAAAGTCACGTCGCCACGCAGATCTGCTCTGGACAGTGTCTACTGGACTTCTCTGACGAGCAGTGGCTGTTGTCGGGGCTCTCTGCTCCGTGTCCCACTCTGGATCCCTGAGTTTTGCCCTGTGACCTTCACTCCCATTCCTGTTTTTTCATTTGTTGCCCCCTGTAGTCAAGTGGAGCCTGAATTTAGTGGTTCCACTTTGTGATTCATCCACAGTGGAACCAACCTTGGTACCATGTGCATCTATTCCTCTCTTGGCTGTCTCCGTGCCACCCACCCACGCACAGCATGCCCTCTCTACTGCAGGCCCAGGCTCCTTCTCAAGACTCCCATCATCTTATGCCCAAATAAATCTGTTAGTCTTTAAGGTGCCACCAGACTCCTTGTTGTTTTTGTAGATACAGACTAACACGGCTACCCCCTGATACTTGATCATCTGTGATAGCAACTAGAAAGGAATCAAATCACATTAACAATGTATTTTTTAAAAACCATGGGCATTCCCTCCACGCCCCGTGCACTCTCACTCGGGCTTGATTAGACTGGAAGCGCTTTGGGACAGGAAAAGGTTGCAATATAAAGAGTCACGTCTAACCCTCCTGGCAGGGCCGGCTCCAGGGTTTTGGCTGCCCCAAGCAGCCAAACAAAAACAAAACAAAACAAAAAGCCGCGATCACGATCTGCGGCGGCAATTTGGTGGGAGGTCCTTTGCTCCGAGCAGGAGTGAGGGACCATCTGCCGAACAACTGGACGTGCCGCCCCTCTCCGAAGTGGCCGCCCCAAGCGGCTGCTTTGTAAGCTGGTGCCTGGAGCCGGCCCTGCCTCCTGGGAATAACGTCCAGAAGGGTTCAGTCTCTCAAAGGGTGACTAGACGTCCCCATTTTATAGGGACAGTCCTGATTTTTGGGTCTTTTTCTTATATAGGCTCCTATTACCACCCACCCCCGTCCCGATTTTGCACACTTGCCCTCTCGTCACCCTAGTCCCTCCCTGCGACGGAATGTCAGCAGGCCAGGCAGATGGATACATCTGTCCATATGAATTGTGAGTTCAGGAAGGATCCATCCAGCAGGAACGCTGGGTACAGGTCAAGGGCAGGTGGGGGCTGAGTTAGCAGCTGGTGCTTAGGGGCTGGGCCCAGGATGGTGAGACAAGGGGAGCCCGCCTGGACTGTCACGCCCACGCGTTCAGAAAACAAGCCGGGGGGAAGTGACCTACCCCTCTTTCCGCATTGCACGGCCGGGCCGCGCCGCTCACCCGATCACAGTCTCACTCCCCGCGTTGCACCGCCGAGCTCCACCGCTCACCCTGCCCCCGCGTTACACAGCCTGGCCGCGCCGCCCGCCCTGCCCCCGCGTTATACAGCCCGGCCGCGCCGCCCGACCCTGCCCCC